AAAAGATAAAGTATAGAAAAGGTGACTAGAGCGAAAAATAGAAAGGTAAATAGCATACTCAGAAAAAAAAATCAGAATATATGTAGTCTGCAATTTGTGCAACAACAATATCATATTGTTTTTGTGAATGGAAGTCGAATAGAATTGAATCTAAATGAAATTTTTCTCATTTGTTTTGGTCTCTGATAAGTATACTGTCTGTTCATGTAACGTATTATATCGCCAAGATTTATGTTGCTTTGTGAGTCTCCGAGTGTTTGAATAAAAACATCATTATTTACATGTATTCTTGTTGACAAAACTGAGCAGGGTGTGGGTGTGGGTGTTATTATTCTCTTCATGCAGACCCATACTCAGACTCACACCCACACCCTAGTTATCGTCACCGTTGCATCCCTAGTCATAACTCTTACTTATCTGTATGATATTGTCTAGTATTCGACTACTAAGAAAAGATATCACCACCTTTCAGCAGATATGAAAAAACTATTAATACATTCAACTATACATACTGTTTTATGACTATCCATGGCAGGGGTTTAAGTCAGCTCCCAAGGTATGCAGAAGGCAGCGCTTGTGGGGCAGTTGAAGGCAGGAGAACGCAGAAGATTGCATATTAAAATGCCTAATTGAAACCCATATTACTATTCTCTAATGAATAAAAAATTAAGAGTTGAAAATATTCAAAAATTGTTGGATTAATAAAAAGTTTTTATTTAAAATTTATCAAATTGTCTATCTAATGAGGTAGTTTATTAATATTGACTTTTAAGAAATTTCGTTTTCGAAATCGATAATATGAAAATAGTAATCTAAAATATTTTCAACTTCGATGGAACTTAATTTGAACTCTCTAGTTTAACAATTTTAGTAACATGTCAATAATATGATGGTAAAATGTTAAAAATTCAAATACACATAACAAATTTTTCATGATCATTCATTATGAAATTTTCATCAAAAAAAACTAAAGAAAACTTTTTTTATGAAATACGAAAAAATACATTCAGTACTTCTTCATGAACTGTTCTATCTATTTTCTTAGAAAAATATTTGATAAATATAAAAATTAAAATGAATAAAAAGGATCGATCAGAATAAGACTGAATTTTGATTCGAACTTCATAAATTTTTCTGTATTTAAATACCTCGTATAACAGTTCTTCATCTAACCAAACCCAATAGTTTACTCCAATGAAATAAATATGTTAAAATGAAGATGTAAGTCGTTCTTAATAAATAGAAAATATTAATATAATAAACCTTATTGATATCAACACAACTAACATGAAAGAATAATTCTTCTCGATAGTATTTTAGGTGAATTATATAGAGTAAGAGATTTTCTTTAAAAAAATTATTAACAGATGCTATTACAAGAAAAATAAATTATTGTCATATATAATGAAATTTCTAATTGATTCTTTATTTGTAGTATAAATATATCTGTTACAGGAAAAGCAAAATAAATCAATTTACAAAGTACTTCATTTTGAAAGATTTAGATAGAAGAAAAATATCATCATTTTTAAATTTTCAAATAAAAAATTTTCTTGATCAATATTGAAGTTGAAATTGAAAAGATTAAAATTCATTGAGTTTAAAAAGAATAAGCTAAAAATATTTTCATCCTTGGAAGATTAATGTCTTTTAAGAAATATTCGACAATTAAATCTTAAAAAAAATTACTAATTTTTAATATTTGAATCTGAACTCTTCTAATTTAAATTTTCATCTTCACTTTAAAAAACCGAGAAATTGTGCAGATTTTTATTAAAATATTTTTGGTGAAAGCTTAAAAGACACTTGAAGAATTCTTCGAGAATAAAATTGATTTGGTAAGATCTTATGATTAGAAATTAGAAAAGCTCAACATGTTGAAAGTTTCGATCAGATTCATTTAGGGTGTGGATGTGTGGGTGTGGGTGTAGAGTGTGGGTTTGAGAAATAACAGAAGATTCACCTAAACATCCATTCACATCCACACCCCACGCCCATCCACACCCACCCATATCCACACACCCACCCACACCCACACCCACACCCACACTCCACGCCCACCCACACCCACACCCACCTACACACCCACCCACACACCCACCCACCACACCCACACCCGACGTAGAAGTTGCACAAGATTCGGTCTATACCGGACAAAGAAGATGCAACGATTCAATCGATGGTAGCTCAAAATTCAACCGAATCTGTCGGTCAAATTGCATTTAGATTATCAAAGAAAGGTATAAAAATTAGTAAAACCACGTTAAGAAGAAGATTTAAAGACGCTGGTGTACATTCAATGAAACCGACTTCGAAACCGTTGCTAACAAGTGACGATATTTTAAAAAAGATTCCAGCAGGATTTAAAACTCAAAGACTGTGACCCAATTGAAAATGTTTGGGCATTAATGTAGCTCAGAATAAACAAAGAACCGTATATATCGATTAATTATTTCATTGGAAGAATAAAGAAAAGAATGGAAAAACTTTGCTATTGAATTTGCCAAAAAATTAGGCGATTCTACGAAGAATAGAATAGAACTGTTAATTGAAAGAAAAGGCGATTATATCAATTATTAGGATGATGTACATATAATGTAGATTTTGTAAAGAAAATATAATAAAATAACTCTTTTGTCTTCCCCGTTTTTTTAATCGGATCCACTTATGGCACTTACTATATGTATACCACCACTACGATATTGTGTTTATAAATAAATAACTTCTTGAACTTCCTCTATCTTGCCACATGCGATTAAAAATACGTTACACTATATAACTTAAATATATTTAAAAAATTAGATACAAATTTCACTGACGAATATACAATTTCTTTATTCGCAACCATTTAATGACATAACGGATAATTTCAATATTTTTATTAATTAACTACGTAATACCATTATCAATATGTGACATTTTTTCAAATTTTTTATACATATATGGAACTAAAATTAAAATATTCGATTTTTTTCCCTCAACTCTGCTGCATTGTATGATCAAAAGATATGCACACAGTACATAATTTACACATATTTAAAAATTAAATGCACTTTATCATTATGAATTATTTAATAACTCTAGTAGCTACTTAATGCTTTTTTTTCTCCTTACTCATCCAATAAATTCACTGTATATAAAGAAGAACAGTAAAATCATATAATTCTTTTTCATCAAACTGCGCTCAATGATTTGATAAACAAAAAATACAAGCTACTACATGAATTAAACACATATAAAAAAATGATAGGAAAATCGTATAACTTTTTTTTTTCATCAGAAAATTCAGTACGTGTATACAAACATAAAGCGACTACTGAAAGATTAAATAGTCATAGAAACTTTAAGTAGCTGCACAATAATACAAAACAGCTGTTCGATAATTCAATAGCTATATGAAAAGATTAAATAGCTGCAGAGAAAACATAAGAGAAGGATATATGAGAAAAAGTATCTCTTTTGAGAATGAGCCAGATCAGAGAGAAGAGTTAAGCATATTCTTTCGTCTCGCGTTTTTTTTCTTTTTCTCTTTTGTGTACTTCTCCCTTGCTTTTTTCCAAAATAAAGATTTGAAACACATATATACACATCACATCATATACATTCCCTAATAACACCTATGAAAAATCGACGATCACTATGTATGCATCGAATATATGCATGGATTAGTTTGTTTTTTCTGTTTTTTTTCTTCCTAGTATTCTTTTTTCATCTTACGATTGAGCAGGTAACTTTTTTATTGGACGTCCTATCTCACTTGCGCCGATCGTAGAAAAGTAAAGAGACGAAGGCATGCAAACAAAGACAAAATGAGAGGGAGAAGGTAAAGGCAATTGTCGCAATCCCTCATTCGTATCAATACGGATAGGCTAGTTTTTTTTTCAATAATATCCAGTATAATAGATGCTTTTTTGGACCATGAAAATGAACAAATTGTCATGTTTAGCTAATTATATTAAAAACACAATAGTAATTTCCAAGTTTGCTTCTTCGTATCATACTCAAGTAAACCATCTCTTCTTTCTCATTGGTATTATCATAATTAGCCATGAGAATGCAAAACAACTCTACAATTATGTAGAGTCATTAGAAGATTCCTTCTATATCCTTGATGAGATGAGATGAGGAGCTACTTACAAAAGTACGCAAACTATGTACACGTTATCACTTCTTCACATCAATTTTTTCTTCATCAGTGACTAATATACCGAGACTATTCAAATAAATATAATGATAATAAGTACATTTACTTTCAGTGAAACTAAATATTTATTTAAGGATAGAAAAAGATAAAAATTTAAACCTATTGTAAAATAAATTATTTAATATGTTGTAGTTAAATAATAAATGACAACAGAATCCACATCAAAAACTTCATTTTGTGTGAAAATTTATTTAAGTCATCCATGGAATTTATTTAAAAGTGGATATCTTGTTCTAACATGGATTATGTTGGTAAATTTCATACTTCTGTAAAAGATTTTCATCGTAGATATTATTTGATATTTAAGGGTTTTCATCTTGAATTGATTGGTCCAACAATGCCAACTCTTGCATCAAACATCGGAGTTACATATAGTAGTATGGGCTCGGTACTTGCATCAAGAAGTGCTGGATATTTAGTTGCCAATCTTCTTGGTTCTATTTTACAAAATGTTGTAAAAAATCATTCTGAAGGTCTTCTATTTTTGGCATTTTTTCTACCTACTATTGGTAAAATTGTTTCATAAAAATCAAAATATTTTTTAAATTCGTTTCTTCTCAGCTATTTTCGCTACTCCATTTGTTACATCATTGGTATTAATGTGTGTTTTATTTTTTATTCAAGAACTTTCGAAAAGTTTTACAGATTTAGGTAAATGAAGATTTTTATTGAAAAAAAAGTCAATTTTGAATAAATATGTAGGTGGAAATAATCTCTTATTGAGAATGTGGGATGTCAATGCTGCAGCACCCTTAAGTACAGTTTATTTTGGATATCCAATTGATGCTGTTGTTGTTAATTTATTTGTTCGTCCATTTATTACTCAAAACGTTTTGCCGATCAATGTTACAAATAATAATAGAATTAATTCAACATTATCATTGATTAATGCAAGAAAACTTAATTCAAATATTGTTATTCCATATTCAATTACTGCAATTTTATGTTTTTTAATTGCTCTTGGACATATCTTTTTTTATGTTTCAAAACTAAGAAATCGAAGAGAAAAATTACAAGTACGACCAATAATAATAAATCAAAGAGAAAAAAATTGAGTTCATTAACAAATGAATGCGTATTTAGGTCAACTATGCTGGTGTGAGCACGAATCCAGATGATGTTAATATTCCAATGAATAAAGAAAATTCTTCTCCATATTCTCCTCGCACATGTTGTCGTGGATTTTTTCAATATGGTTTAACTCTTTCAACAATATTTATTATGTATGCATTTTGTATGGGTGGAAATTCTCAAACATTTTCAAAATTTTTTTTTTCTTTTCTCAAATTTGAGAAATTTAATCTATCAAATGCAGCTGCAAGTTCGGGAATTACTCTTTATTGGCTTTCGCATTCTGTATGTATTATCATCTTATTTTATCAAGTCGTTTCAAATAGTTTATAGAAAAATCAGAGCTCTGTCAAAGATTCACGAGAGTTGAGATACAAACGGTTCAAATTCAATTTGATTTATATAGGACAAAGATAATTCTTTCATTTCTCGTTAGAAAGATATGAGAAGGTTTAGAGAGAAACTACAACATGAATTAGAACGCAAATACTATCAAAAGAAAAATTTGTGCTGACTGATAGGAAAGGATTAGAGCTCTGAACTATGATTGGATCAATTTCACATATCTTAAGTGTAAGTCGTTGAAGTCAATGATCATCTCAACTGATTAATTAAGACATACAGATGAGTGGGGAATAATTACGTCCATCATTCATTCATAACTATAATGATTATTTTGCAATTTGAGCAAGAAGTATTCATCATGATTATAACAGAACTGTATTCATGTATTAATTGAAGAGACTGGAATATATCGACAAATCATTTAGTAATTCTGCACATTTCTTCTCAAACTAACTATCTTAGGATTAATCAATAGCAAAGAATTTTTACTTTGATGAAAATACAAATAATAATCGGTTTAGTGGCCTTATCATAGAAATTAATTAATACAGTTTAGAAAAGCACACAACGCGAAGGACTTGCACTCCACCCTGAAGTAAATTTCCTTGGTCCAATTTTTAGAAAAAATAAGAAAGTCGATAGGAAGTTGTGCAATTGATCCTTTTGGAAATACTTATTACTGCAATTGAATAATAGCCAAAGATAATTCAATCTGATATACACATACATAATTTATTGTACAAATCAACAGCTATATTTAGGTTTTAAACAAGATTAACGAGAACAGAATAGAAGAATCCATATACAAAATCATGCATGACAACAGAATGAAAGAAGATATAGATGGAATGACGTCATGATACTGAGAAAATTATTTACTTTCTTAATTGTTATAAAATCAGATTTAATTAAATAAATTTCTATTGTTGAATAGATCTTATTTTCATGAAAAATTCGCTGAAATAGAAGTTTATTCATTGTTTTTTGAAAATAGTTAACACTGAAAAAGAAAATAAATAATTTTTTTGCTAAAATAGGTTGGACGATTAGCTTTTGCAATGATATCTATATTTCTATCAGCGGATAAATGTCTTAATATTATTTGGTTTGGATCTTTATGTCTTGCTACTGCTTGGCTTATTTTTGTTTGGATTATTGGTTTAACAAGTACAAGTTTATTTATTCTTGGTGCAGTAACTGGTTTGTTATTTGCACCAATATTTCCATTATCATTTGGTTTTTTTAATCAAAGATTAAATGTTATACCAATGCTTCTTGGTTTCCTATTATCTGGAACAGCACTCGGAGCAATTACCTTGAACAAAATAGCTGGTAAACCTTAGAAATGATACATTATCTGTAATTCTTTTTGAATTTTTTAGGTGTAGTAATGGATTATAATCCAAATCATTTTCCAACAATTTTAGCTGTTTGTATATCAATGGCAATTATTCTTCATATTGCTTCTCATCTTGTTTACTTTTTTCATCAACGAAAAAATTTGTTAAATGCTCAACCTTCAGTAACCAATGGTTTAGCTCTTTCTCCTGAGGGTTCTAATGAAGAAGAACAACAAATGACTAATTATTTAAGAGATCGAGAAGATAAATAACAAATTTTATTTTAATTTTTTATATTTCGAACAAAAACTTTTCGGACAAACTTCTCAACATATTTTTTCTATTATTTATCTAATAAAAAGTGATTCTGTTGTATGTATAAATGTCGAAGAGAATATTATATCGAATTTACTCTTGAACGAGTTCAATTATGGTTTTTTGTTTGGATAGAATTTCTATGAAAATGATTGAATTAGAAACGATTTTGTTTATACTATAGAGGAAGTATAAGGCTCGAATAGATCTGGTCAACTGATTTTTCCCCTATAATATGCTAAGAATGGTCACATTTGTTGTATCAAAGAAATTTCATCTTCAATAGACTGAATTTTTTTTTTATAATAAAACCTATATTCAACTCATTTTGACGATTTTGAGATTCAACTGGACGCTTTTAAGTGTAATTTGTCTAATTTCACACTTGAATAAGATCGAAGTAGCATAGCAGGTTGTAATCAATCTCTTTGGGATATATCTGCCACTACTGCAGTAAATTAATGACAACTCCTACCTTCGATTTGTAAATTTCTGAAATACAAGTAAGGCCTCAGTTGTATGAGCCTCGCTTAGCTCAACTCTGAAAGCAGGGAAAAACGATTTAGAATACTGACACCTACGCTGTTAGATATATACTTAAATGAAACTGAAACAAAAGGATAAGAATGAGTCTCTGATACCAAGATTCAAATTTCATGTCACCGAAAAGACAATCGTCAGTTGGCTTAAACTTTTAATCATATTTGTTTTAAATGATTTTTAATAAATTAGAAATCATTTAAAACAAACACAACTAGGAGTCAAAGCTAACTGACGATTATCTTTTCGGAGACATGAAATTTGAATCTTGACATTCAACAGTCGGTCTTACTTATCTCTAGAGAAAAGTTTTTGATGAAAAGTCATCCAGGAATGGCACATATTCGTGTCAAAATACAGCGTATGGAGTTTTGAGAGCATTTGTAACGATAAGTCTGAATGCTTGCGTGGAATATAAGAAAGATTCTGAATGTTTGTGTTCAGGAGGATCATTTTATAATGTCTGTTAACGGATTTTTCGCATACAACTCTTGAAAAGTGAGTGTTTAGGTATATAAGGCACCAAGATATGGGTGTTTATAGGGATGACCGATATGAGACCTTACAAAGTTATGTGTTTTTTGTGTTTGCATTATCTTTTAGGTCAATAAAACTTTTCGTTGTGTTTTTTTTCATTTTGTTTAAACAGCAGAGTTTATGATCGTTCAAATAAGAGATGAATAAGAATAGTTAAAATGTTCACGTGTATGCACATGTGACTTGTATTTATTATGAACAGCGACGAGGGATATACGACCAATCATTATGAAGACAGGCAGAAGAATGATATATTGTAGACTTTCACTCAACAATCTGAATCTAATCTTTTTTCTAAAAAACATGTTTTTTGATATTGACTGAATACAAAATGTTATGGCACATACGATATATTGATGCTTATTAGATTTGGTTCGAACTTTTCCAGTGGGTGTTCGGGGCCATAAGGTAGATATCATATTGAATGAGTTATCTTTGAGAAGCATGAGATTTAACTAAAAATAAGAAAGGATTAAGTAATGCTTGAGATTAAATAGCTATTTAAGTGAAGATAAATTCAAGATAAGTAGCTGCCAAATATTTAAATAGCACTCGAGAATAAATAGTCATGCAAGAGAGTATATTATAGATAAATACATAGCTGGCAAGTATTTAAATAGCTATAGGTATTTATTAAATAGTACTCTACCCAGGTCGACAATTCTGGACTACAGATGTGCGAAATAGACTTTTTCTGGTCCCAGCAGCTTCTTATTTTTGGTTTCCATCCTGGTCGCGGTAACACTCGGATTGAGGATTCTTTGGTCCCGGTCTGGACAGAAATTCTTCAGAATTTATTTATTTTAAGTATTTAAAAATCTTTAATTACTCTTATTTTGATCGTTTCCTGCGACAAGCAATGTGATTTATCACATAATTTGCTAAAAATCATAGAAAATTTTGTAAAAATTTTGTGTCTCCTAGTTCTGGTTAGCAGTGTCAGGGTTCTTCGTTCCCTACGGTTCCGTTCCCAACAAACAGGAATCCACTTTACAAACCATATTGATGCATTTTTAAACGTCATGGAATATTAATATACCCTTTCAATGTCTTTTCGCACAAAATTGATCTGGGTTTCGGGAACTCGGTATCCGAATGGATTCTCCATTTCCAGGAACTAGGTATGGCACTTTAACTTTACTTTCAACATTAAAGTAATTATGTTAAGGATCCTTGGTAAACATTCTGAATTTCTTGCCTAACCTTATCGACTTCAGAATTCCACCAGAAAGGAGCTATTTCTCGAAAATAACGATACCTCATAAAGTTTTATCAAAAGTCTTCAAAGTCGAGGAGTTCGAATCGCGAGATGATTTCTCGAATTTTGTGAATCTGAGAATCTCAGTAAGGAAGCGCTATTTTGTTATGATGGATTTTCTTCACTATTGTAAGGAGAAAACATGATGTCATTTGGACTATATGAAATAACGCTCCAACAAACCTTCAGATATGGCAAGACGACACTATATTTTACTTTTATGATAGTAGGAAAACCCTTGAGGGTGTGGGGTGTGAGTGGATGTGCGGGCTAAGCAAAGAACCATAGCCCCACCCACCCACACCCCCAAAACTTTAATTCGATACTCAAGAATAAAGATATCATTTGTGAAGGGTGTGGATGTGGGTGTGGGTAGGGATGTGCAGTTTCAGTATACTGATCACCGATAAAGTCACACTGGTGTTCACTGAATCAGTACATACACTGACACTGGTGTTCACT